GCTGTTGTTCTGGAACTTTGAAGCCCAATTGCTTTAGTGACCCAACTAGATGATTGCTGCACGAAGCAAGTCGATTAAGTGAGGCAGTGAAAAGAACAGCGATGATGCGGTTACCACTCCAGTTGCAAGTAGCATGCGGGATTTTGAAGGTTGGGACCTCGATGGTGCTACCTCGGGGTATGGGAACACGGAAACCCTTACAGCCCCGAAAAGTGGCGTCGCCGTAAGATGACTTGAGGAAGATCTCCCCATCAACATACTTGGTGATTGAGGTCAGGAAAGCAGGAAGCTTGTCGTTATGGGAATCAATGTGCATTTCAGTCATCACATTCTTGTTTAAGGCAATAGTAGTGCCAAAACAAGCAACATTACATTGTTTCATGTACGTAGTGATCACTTTGGTGAAGTTGGGGTACATTCGCGAGTACTTTGTTAAGGATAACCGTGCAGCCCCAAGTATCACCTGGTGTCCATCCCCATTTTTAACCCATGGTACTTCAGGATGATCAAGCAACTGCTGGATTTGTTCGGGTGTAAGTTTTTGCTGCTTCAAAAGGCATTCAGCGTATGCTTCTAAAGAGGCGAAGTTGCACATGTGGCTTATGTGCGAATGCGCGTGCTGTCTCGCTGTAGCGACATCGGTGGGTGAGCTGCCCGAGTGAGGACTACAATCCATCCCTCCTTGAAGCAAAAGCGAACGAGACAACGAAATCCCGGAATCCCAAGCAGAGCAGCATCCACAAAGGAAAACTAGAGCCCAAACTAAACCCACAAAAGGGGAGGAGCACTCCATCTGCCTGGATGCCGTCTTGGCATTCATAACGGTCACGGCAGCAGCATCTGGATTGATGCGTTTCCTGGGATGTGTAGTGTATGATTGCTCAGTTTTGCAGTGCTCGAAGACACTGTGGGTTCTACCATCGCTGTTGCTAGGTGTGGTCATTTTTGCAAGAGTACACTTTTTATCACAGTGGTACCAGTGGGTGTCGGTCTGGCCCTTTTGTGATGCTGCAAGTTTTTGCTTTGCGCATTGTGCATTTGTGGCTTTGTCAAGCCTTTTGTGATATGTCGACAGGCTATGGCTCGTGCCTGATTTTGCGAAGTGCTTTAGGAAACTAAACCTAAAAGCCCTAGCAACCTTATGAAGGAGGCACCTTCCCAGAGGCGGCGTCTGCTGCAGCGCAGTGTCGTGTCTGGCTCGCTCGTCGTTCCTTGGATTTGAAATGTGACTTTTTGCTGTGATTGTGCATGCTTGCCATTTTCCATTCCAGCTAAACATCTTTAAACCCCTACGTCGAAGGGGCGAGGTAAACCCGATGTGACAAGATTTTTGACCCTCTGTGAAAGACAGTCCTTTAATTAGAGTGGTCATTCTAGTGATTTGATAGAACAAAGACCATTGCAATCTGAAGCTACAAACCGAATCAAGAATTCCCCAGAGCGGCCCAAAGAATCCCGAACAAAGGCGACGCAGGTTGCCGATGCTTTGTGTCATGTGGCTTTTGATGTCTGCTGGCTTACAAAGATTATCTGTCGGCACAGTTGCTGTGTCTCCGCATCCATTTTGCAACTGATTCCTTAGATTCGTCTGTAAGCGAGGCAGTGCCAAGCAGGACAAAGTTAACTTAGATGTGTCATTTAGTTGGGGTTTGGTGTCATACAAATTACGGGGAATCGGCAAATGTACCCATGCGGCAATCCTGGATGATGGACAGCCCTACCATATATGGCGCAGAGTTGATGCGTTCAAGTACGCGCCGTGAGACTTCGCTGACTACTCTTTCAACAAAAGCATCAAGATGAGCATTCTGGGCGGTCTCATTCTGAGTATCCTCTGTACACTCTCCTCCACTCATGTCCTCAGCAGCAGGGGGCAACTCAATCGAAGGTGCTGCTGATGGCAAATGTCGGCGCGGAAGCGGTGGAGTGCGGGGCCTGCGAACCAGTCTGGGATGCTGAACTCGTTCTTCCGAAGCTGTAGCCGTAGTGATCAAGGGTTTCATCGACGGCTCTGGTGGCATGGACGAAGCTGCTGAGTTCAATGAGGTTGCCGATGATGCAGTGGCTTTCGGTGTTGTTGAGACTCCCGATGTGGTGATCATTGCAGTGCTCCCCGACGTAGTCGATGAGGATTTCCTCTTTGGGGACGGCGGTCTGGGTGGGACTTTCGGCATTGATTTCATCATGACAGGCGCAGCCCCTCGAGCTTTAGCCACTCGCATCACCTGCTCTGTGAAGTTTTCGTGTGGTCGCCGCATTGGCAGGCCCTTACCTTCTGGGCGATATTGGGGAGGCATGATGCCTCCCTTATCGGCTCCACTATTCTTCAGATGAGCCAACTGCCTGAAGAAAGTGCGGGAGTTTTTGCTGTGAAGATGCATTTTGCATCTGCGCGCTACGCTCGCACCGTTCATCCTATGCCGAAGAATGGTGACATCCTAAGGGTAGGCATCAAGGGTATGTTGAAGGAATTCTTTGAGGCTGGAGCTCCATCTGTGGTCGGCTACCGCCACTCTGTGCCTAACCTCAGCAGCATCAACCCCACTGTAGTGCGAGTTCTCGAAATACAGGCTAATAACCTGATTGTCATGCCTATGTTTCGACTTGGCGCAATTGTCCAGTCGTTGAGGGCAACATCTGATGACGTGTCCCCGGACACATACTCGAATCTCACATCCGAGATAATCAGCAGTACCCAGAACAGCTAGCATGTTAGCCCAGGCGTTCTTCTTTCTGAGAAGTTTGACATGTTGGCAAAGTTCAACATCTTGCGCTTTCAGGGCATGTTGCATCATGCTTTTGGTCGTGAGAGCTTTTAGTCTATGCCACGACATGTTGAGCTGCTTGGCGACTGCTCTCCAGTAACAGTTGCCATCACCAACAATGCGAGTCGTGTGCAAAGGTGTCTTAACCCCATGATGCAAGACATCGACCTTAACATCGAACTTTTCGACTCTACTTTCATGCCTCTTTGCATATTTATCATTCTTGTGCTTACGGGGTTTTCGGAATCGCACGAGACCAGAAGTTAGGGGCTCACAGGCAAACCCCCAAATCCCCGAGAACCAAACAAGCCCACAAAGGAGAAATACCCTGAACACAAACCTCCAAAGTCCACCCTTCACCAGGTTGCAGTCCGCAGTGACTCTGCGAGGGGCTGTTTGATCACGATGTTGCACTTCCTGAGCGATTATGGAATGTACGAGTTCAGAGAATAAAGTGAAGAGGCCGATTAGGGTCCACAGATAATTGGGATGCTTAGGGTTGGTAGCTTTTTGCTTTGTGCTTCTGTTCATAGGGGCATGCTGCCAAGTGGAGTGCACAGAGTACATTAGCAAGGAAGCTTGCTTTCTGAAGTCAATGTATCGCTGTCTAATCCCACGAAACACTCCGAAATCGCAATCACAACTCTTAGGCCCTGTATGCATCGAGCAGCGTGTTTGATTGCGGTGTCCTTGGGGACTGCAAGCTACACTCGCGAGAGGGCAAGAGTCATCGTCATCATCATGCAAGTCATCTGCAAGGCAGTGTTTCGTTACATTGCAATTGCTGATGTTGCTTTTGCTGTTGTTGCTGTAATTGTTGTTGATGCTGTTGAATTTTGCATAATGCAAACAGGAGCCGCCATCGGGCTCTGCGATTTTTTTGCTTGTTTTTGTGAACGATTTTTTGCAATAATTTTGGCAGGTATTTTTGTTTTTGCTTTTGCACTGCCAATGCTGACGGTCCAAAAGGGACCAATTGCTGTATGTCCAACCCGCATCGTTAACAGGTTGCTTGTGCAGATTCGGTGCGCTGATATGGTACTGCGAGTGCATGCTATGCGCATACGCACAGCTGCATGGCTTATCGGCAAGACAAAGTCCGTAGTGGGTAAGCCCACTCCAGACTAGAAAGCAGGGCATCAACAGTAGATGCCATTTACTGCGGCTATGTTCGTAGTCAGCTGCCATGGCCTTCTACCCAAGAGAGAAGACACTACAACAGCCGCTAACAGCTCAAACCCCGAGAAGGCCAAGCCGCCTTGAGCCAGTATAAGGTGTTGGGGTATAAAATTCTTCAAAATTATAAGCCCTTCAGGTCGAGAATATAGGGGGCCTAATAAGTAGGATAAGGTGTTGGGGTATAAAATTCTTCAAAATTATAAGCCCTTCAGGTCGAGAATATAGGGGGCCTAATAAGTAGGATAAGGTGTTGGAGTATAAAACTCTACAAAATTATAAGCCCTTCAGGTCGAGAACATAGGGGGCCTAATATATGGGTGGTTGTCAAAATTAGGGTCCCTTTGTGGGTCCCTATTATAATACGGCACCTAATATTTAGGGTACCCAAAAAGGGACCCTAATCTTGACAACCACCCATATGTCGAATCAAGGAGCCCCAAAACGAGTACAGGTCTATAAATAGGTTTCTGGGGTCTTTGAGACAGGGTTGTACAGGGCTGCTACTGTTGATGATAGAAATCTTGCACTACCTTAAGGACCCTAAGCTATGGAATTTCATGGTATATTCCTTATTGTGGGTAATGCAGGATTTCGATCATCTACCGCAGGACTTTTGGCTAGCTCGGTGTTTACGGCAGGGATTTTGGTGTACAGGTTGCTCAGGGGTTGTAGGACTGCTGCAGGTGTTGGTCTTCGTTTTGTTGTGAACACCAGCCCCACAAACTCCTGATGCTGCAAAAACCTACTATATAGGGGCTTGCATACTGAGCAATGTATATTATTTTTTGGGGTTCCTTATCTTAATAAGATAGTTTCAGTAGAAGCCAGAAAGTTGGAACATCAACATCCTCATGTCCTTAAGGTGAAACATAAGGAATCCCAGCATGAGTCATCCATGTTCCAACTTTCTGCGGTTCGCTATATAGTTTAATGGGCCCCAAAACCGTGTTCTAATTTTTAAGGCCCCTATGTCATAATAATAATAACTATTACTATAAAAAAAATACAATATTTATAATGCCTACAAGATGTTGCAAGAACTTGCGTCTCCGCGAGGTGCTCCTCTTTGCAAACCCGCTCATCAAGTGAGCAAAGTGTCGGTGAAGTGGACGAGTTTTCCGAAGATGGCTGGATTGGCCATGTTAGGTGTAGGTTGGGCTCTAGCACATGTTTTCACAGTGCTGCAGTGTATACTGTCAGGTGTAGTTTGGGGTCATGGACATGCACAATGCTGAAGTGTACGCAAAATACCTTGATACCCTAGCTCAGACCCTAACCCTACATAACCGTGATAGGGCCAGAGAACGAGCGCGAGCTCGGAGAAATGGACGCTGCGATGAGACGGCGGGGGGGCCTCTTGGACTGAGGGTTTAGGGTTTGAGGGTTCAGGGTTCTAGGGGTTTAGGGTTTAGGGTTTTAGGGGGTTTTGGGTTTAGGGTTTTAGGGGGTTTAGGGTTTTATGGGTTTTTGGGTTTAGGGGTTTCGGGTCTGAGGGAGTGCTCGCAGCCTACGATGTGTCACTTCCTTGGATCTTGAGAGTTCAGGGGTTTAGGGAGTTTAGGGTTTAGGGAGTTTAGGGTCTATAGGGCTTATGTGGAGTATAGGGTTTAGGGTTTACGGAGTTTAGGGTTTAGGGGTTTAGGGGGTTTAGGGAGTTCCGGGTAATAGGGTCGCGGGGTTGTAGCGTTATAGGGGTATGGGGTTATAGGGTTCAGGATTTATGGTTTAGGGTTTACGGTAAACGGTGCCTGTATAAGTTATTATAAGTGGAACAGTCTTTTTTGGTGAGGGTTCCTTGAGGGAAACTAGGGCATAATTAAGGGGTTAGGATGGGGGCCCTTGTAGTTGAAGCCGGGTTTTCGGGTTTGTGATAGGGTAAGTAAGTTGAAGACTATTTCTATTCAGGCCTGTATATTGCAAAAAGGCTCACGCCACTGAGTAAATTCGCGTGCTCAGCCACGGTTAGTCTTATCAGAGTAAGCAGTGCCTGGTGGATTGGCAATAAGGGAAACAGTACCAGACATGGTCGATCACACTGAGATGTTGAGGGAGGCAGACTTTCAGCCCGTAGCTGAAGATTCTGATGGCGAAGGCATTGAGAGACACGAGACCCAGCAATTTGCTGAAAGGCTTGGATAAACCCTTGCGGCATGTTATTCGGCTTACTACACAGACAGTCTTTCGCTGCTTCTCGGCTCAGCTTCAGTTTTTCCTCGCCGACTTGCTCCTCCTTGCCCGCAGCATCTCAAGAGACTTTGCTGATATTGGAATCAGGGTTGAGAGCTGAGGACCTAGACGGCCGAAATTGCACAGGCCACCACCTCCTCCTCGTACCGCTGCCCCGCGACTGCTACTGATGCTACTGCTACTGTACTGCCTGCTCCAGCTCGTGCTAATGCTACTGCCACTGCTACTCCTGCGACTGCTGCGGCTATTACTACGACTACTACTACCACCACTACTACTACTACTACTATTACTACTACTACTACTACTATTATTATTACTACTACTACTACTACTACTACTACTGTACTACTACTGTACTACTACTGTACTTCTACTACTACTACTACTACTACTACTACTACTACTACTACTACTACTACTACTGCTACTGCTACTGCTACTGCTACTGCTACTGCTACTACTACTACTACTACTACTACTACTCCTACTGCTCCTGCTCCTGCTCCTGCTCCTGCTCTTGCTCCTGCTCCTGCTGCTGCTACTGCTACTGCTACTGCTACTCCTGCCGCTACCGCTACCGCTACTGCTACTGCTGCGACTACTAGAACTATCATTGCAAGTGCAACTACTATTAATGATACTACTACGACCTGGAGACTCACTATGTGATTCCACCTCGTAGTTGCTATGATGCGGAAGGCTTGGAAGATGATAAATAATGCAAACCCCGTGTGTCTCTGGCAACACTTTGCAGCCTCAAGCCCGGACTCTTTGCGAAGCTCTATGGGTGGTTGTCAAAATTATGGTCCCTTTTTGGGTCCTTAGTATAGTACGGCACCTAATATTTAGGGTACTCAAAAGGCACCATAATTTTGACAACCACCCCTATTCTGGCTACTTGGAGGTTCGTGGGTAGTTACAAGTGAGGTTATAAGCCCCTTTTTGTGGGTTATAGGTACAGTTACCCTAACTATAACCCTACTTACAACTACCCATGCACCTCCAAGTGGGTCCCCCTTCAGCGGGTGTTCTTATCACAGCTGGACGACAGGGAAAAGCATACCCTGATTGCATAGGGCTGGGGAACTGAGTTTGTGTGCACAATACGGGGGCTTGGATACTTCCGTATATACACGCAACATCAGTTTTTGCTTCTTAAGGCCCACATACTAAACCATAACAGCGACCCTTACATGAACCTTATTCGGCCCTAGCCCAACCATCAAAGCCCCGACGCTGCGTCTCAGGTGGCCAGGTTCTTGAGCGCCTGATAGACGTTCAAGAATCATACAGGAATGCCTTTTTAGTTGTAAAAATCTTCAAATACCGGAGATGCAGAATACCTCTAGAACCCTCTGGAACCCTGAACATATCTACCCTACCTATAGTCTCCATTGTAGTTCCTATTGTTGGTTTAACCACTTATATATTAAGGATCCTATAAGGTAAGCCCCAAAAGGAACTGCAGTGGACACTATAGGTAAGCCCTGAACCCTAGAAGAGCGCGAGATGAGGATGGCCCGCTCTCTGGCTCTGACCGGTGCCGTGCTCCTCTGTAGCGGCCGGGCTCCTGGCATCCCAGGGTTCAACCCAGAGAGCCCAAGACCCCTTAATTAAGGAATATACCTTCAACCATAATATTAAGGCCCCTATAATTTAAGGGCATATTCCTTAATATACCTTAGAAATTTAAAGGGGCTTCATATTATGATTTAGGTTATATTCCTTAATTAAGGGGTATTGGGCTCTCTGGGAAGAGGTCGACCTATAGTCTCCACTGTAGTTCCTTTTCGGGGTTACCTTATAGGATGCTTAATATATACTTGGTTAAACCAACAATAGGAACTACAATGGAGACTACAGGGAGGTTTTATCTTGAAGCCCAGAGGGCCCATATACACTACTATTATGGAATTAGCTCCCCAAAACCATAATGGGCATGGTCTTTTAGGGCCTAATGCCATAATAGTAGTGTATATGGACCCTCTGGGAAGGTGTTGGCTCCAAGGTTGAGAACCTTTTAGGGTTCAGGATTTTGAGGGTTTGGGATGTCTAGGCTCGAGGATATGTAGGGTTTATGCCCAATGTCGTGAGCCAGACACAGGTGCGCTCTTCACGGCTTTCGTCGCAGCGCCCCGCGCCGCACCAGCACCGGCCGTGCCCCATGCGGCCACCGCGGCTTTGAGCAGCATGGCTGCTGTTTTTTGTAGGGCGAGCTTTGCGGTTTTAACAGTGTTCGGATGTGGTACGCTTGAAGTGGTGTTTAGGGTCCGTGGCGCGATTAAGGATTTGCGGGTGTGAATTCTCGCCTCGGTTTTGGAACCATGATCTTTATTCGTAGTAGTCCTGATTGCTATATTTGGAAGGAGATACTTGTGTCAGGGGTTCTGCAGCCTTAAACCCTAACCCCTAAGCCTTAAACCCTAAACTAAGCCAAAGCCGTTTACTGTTTATTACTGTTTACCCTAAATGCCCGAGGCGCTGTGACCCTGGTTGCGCCTCAGGCAGCCCACGCCGAGGATCGCGTGCTCGAAATTCCGTGTAGGGGCTTTCATAGCCCGTGAGGGTTTAGGGCATTTGGGGTGTCGGGAATAGCGTTCCTTTAAAGCAATCCTCGTATAAAGCTCTTAGAGGACCCCTTGAGGGTTTAGGGGTTTAGGGCTTAGGGCCTGTCAGGCGGTGGCATTCAGGCTTTAAGAGAGTTTAGGGTAAGTGCCTCAGCCTGGCAGTTGAGCCAGATCTCGAACTTGGGTTTTAAAGTTTAAACCCTACAATACCTACACCTCGCTTGAACTGTCCTTATTTATACCTATATATAATTATATGCATATATATATATATATAAAGACTGTTGAAGTTGATATATGCCTATAAGCCCTCTAAGCTCCACACCCCAGCACCTCGGTAGGATGGCTCCGTGTGGATCCCTGCGCTCTCCGCCATCGGCGCCGGCTTCGCCATCGGACTTGCCGCCATCGGCTCGGGCGTCGGCCAGGCTGGGTTCAGGGTAGAAATCCCAAGGGTCCAAAGGACCCAATAATCAGGTACTCGGTTTTAGGATGGTAGATATGTAGGTTAGGTTTTTGGGGAGAGAGTATATGATTATTGGGTACTTGGACCCTTGGGGAAAGGGCTTTCATAGTTAGACCAGGGCTCATACAACAACGTGGGGGCTTATAGCCAGGATTTGGGGTTGCTTGTGTTGCTGTTATGTTTTGTTTTTTGAAGGTTTTTTTGCCTTCCAGGAAACGGCAATACATGACACCTCGCAACATCCAAGAGAAGCTGCAGTCCCTAACGGCGGAGCCGAAATTCCTCGTTAAACCCCAAACCCGACAGTCGATACCCCATCTACACTCATCCAAGGTCGGGGGACTTAGAAATTCCGTAGTAAGTAGACTTGTAAGTACCCCAAACAAAACCCTAATTGGGGTTATGGTACTTGTAAGTCCCTAAAATAACCAGTTCCTAAGTCCCCCGACCCTCCAAGCTCGAGCCGGAAGTCTCCCCCCCAAAACGCCGAGCTTTACTTCAACTCGGCAGCTGACGGCGCCTAGTTAGGTTATAGCTAGGTTCCTGAGTAAGTCGTACCCTTTCGCACTTTTTCTCTTTGGATCTCCTTCAAGGATTCCTTTAAAGGTACCCCGAATCATAGCTCTTTCGGAAACTCCCAACCCCCAGCCCTAAACCCTTCATAGATCCTCTGTAGATCCCCTTTAAAGGAAGCCTTCAGGATCCCTTTTGGTTTAGGGTTTCGGCCTCAAAGCTCAGTGCTCCTCAGGGCATTGCCAGCGGCCGCTGCATCGATGGCATCTCCCGACAGCCGGAGGTCAAAACCTGTCAGCTAATCAGAATTTTTGATCTACATGGTACCTTTACCTAGGTAGCGCTTTGGGACT